CATTTCTCCACTAGCGATGCACCCCACCAGAGCCACGGTCACTCCACAAAAGTTTCATTTCGTAAAGTCAATCTTACATGAAACAACATGTAGTGGTCCTGTGTCATAAACCAATTGTTGAATAACTTAAATCCCACAACGGCCTGAACGAGCTCTTATCTACAGTATCATATCTGATCACATCATCAGTGCTAAACTAAACAGGCAATAAATGTTGAGATAATTGTAGCATACAGTTTTGATCACATGCTAGCCTCCCTGAACCACAATAAACCACTGCACACAGCAGTGGATAAGAGAGCTCTACCACAAACAGCTGTAGCTCCAAAGTGGAGTAGGTGTCCACTGTAAGCTACCAACATAAAAAACTGTTTTTAAAAACAGACGCCAGGCCACTGCCCCTGCCTGATGTACGCGGGGATCTAAAGAAGAAGCAGTCCGGTGGGAGAAGTTCAGAAAATATATAATGCTCACCTTCCTTTAACCAGGTCTCGGTCAGCAACATTATATCCAATTCCTGTGATATGAAAAAAGCCATTTAGAATAAAAGTTTTGTTAGTCAGAGACCTGGCATTAATCAAACCCATCCAGATCGATGAAGCAGAGTTAGGCAGCTGAGGAGAACGTCTCAGCGATCAGAGGTTGGACCAGTTTACATCTCTTCTCAGGTGCCGTGGAAGCCAGCAACATGAAAGAGGCGCTGAGAAGTCCAGACCAACGGGCCGAAGCCAAACGTAGGTGAAGCTAGGCCAGCGACACATAGGAGGATGATGGAAAATCCAGTCGGATCTACAATGGAGGCCAGAGACATCTGTAGAAGCTGAAAGCCAAAGGGCCTTGAGCCTGACAGCCCCCCTCTTCCCTCGTCTTTTAGGCCACTTTCTTCGTGGGCAAGGTATGCCGGTATCTTAGCCAGTGGTGGTGGGAGAGTCTTTGAATGATCCCAACCGTGTACACTGGGGCACTTTCCCATGGACGAGCGAATACTGAGAAGGGCTGAGCAATCATAAACTAGTAGAGCCGATACATTCTGAGTGACAGTCAGAAACAACAAAAACAGGGGAAACAGTAACACAGACGGGAGGGATCAACAGCAAGCCACAGACAACTGCACCACCTATAAAAGGAGTAGTCTTACTTTTAGTTAGGTTTTTATGAATAACTGCTCTTTAGTTGATTTATATAATTTAAATGGACTGTATTTATATAGCGCATTTTTCACAGTGTGTTGCACTGGCCGAAGCGCTTTACAGGAGACCATACACCATTCACCCATTCACACACACGACGACAAGGCTGCCACACAACGGCACTAGTCAAGCCACCGGGAGCAATTCAGGGTTCAGTGTCTTGCTCAAGGACACTTAGGCATGCGGGGAGACCAGGAGTCGAACCACCAACTTGCTGGTCAGAAGACGACTTGCCCTACCCCGATTTAGATGGTTCGGGGGGGCAGACACAGTCTCGAATGGTTACTGGGAGTTTTGGGTGGGTAGCAGTTGCAAAGAGACTGCAGAGAGGCATGTAAGACTGCAACTCTGTGTGCTGGTCTCAGCTCTGGGTTGTCATAATTTAGGTTATAAAATAAACTCATCCATATTTCTAAATATGAGTTTTCTCTCCTCTAATCAGACCAGGTTTTCCCCAAAGTGTTTTCCAGTTGTCTATGAAGCCCACATTGTTTCAGTCCAGAGAAAACTATGGAATCCGACATTGTTTTGGCAAAGTTACACACCGACTCATCATTAATTTTAGTAACCTCTGGCTGGTGAAGCCTGTAGTCATTAGTGCAGACGTAAATAACAATCTTACTGTATTTACGTTTATCCTTAGTCAACAGCTTCAAATAGGATTCGAAGTTGCCCGCTCTGGCCCCAGAAATACATTTGACTGTGACTCAGGTTTGAATCTGTGACCGTAGTTTCACATTTCTGCCTATGAAGTCACCAATTACCAAAGTTGTTTTCTCCCCCTCCTTGAACCGCCACCTTATTGTGGTGGAGGGGTTTGAGTACCCGAGTGATCCTAGGAGCTATGTTGTCGGGGGCTATATGTCCCTGGTAGGGTCTCCCAAGGCAAACAGGTCCTGGGTGACGGGTCAGACTAAGAGTGGTTCAAAAGCCCTTTATGAATAGATTAAAATCAAGGACCGTGACGTCGCCCGGCATGGCGCAGCCG